TTCCTTGGAAAAGCTTTGATATTGTGAGAAAATGTAGCGGTTGTAAATTTGTCATGTGCAGAAGACGTCTAACACTGACCAAGAAGTAATCATTGTCTTCAACCTCTTGCTTGTCTCAGACCATATGTGTAATTTTGGAAATGCTCAAGGTCCTTTTCCACATGGATGTTGCTGCCCTTGTGGTTTCCTGTTGCAGAAGTCAGATAATGAAACAGGGCTGGGTCCTGTGTGGTCACTTCCTTACCGAACGCCCACACATCTGACTTGCTGCTGTATTTGAAGTAGTGAAACACTTCAGGGGCTGACCACTTGACTGGAAACTTTGTTCCTACTGAGCTGACATACTGGTCATCGAGGACATACCTGTAGGGAGGAGCACAGACATTAAGCTACATGGTGGCACAAAATGGGAGATCCTCTGGCGCCTTCAGTGTCTCTGTGGTGGTACAGACTGATGAAGGACAGAGATTTCCAGAGTCTAAGCTTATGATTTACAAGCATTTAGAAAATATAACTTCTAAAAGAGAAATGCGATTTGAAATAGCAACGCAAAATGTTTGGTAGATACAGAAAAATACAAAAATGTAAAAATAAGATGGGCATGGAGGCACATACCTATAATCCCAGCACAAGGGAGGCTGAGTGAGGCAGGAGGATCATTAGTTCGAAGCCAGCCTGGGATATAGAGCAAGACCTTGTCTCAAAAAACCAGCACCATAAGAAAAAAGTAAAATAAAATCACCCAGAAACCCACTCCAAAAGTAACCTGTGCCGGGCACTGGTGGCACACACCTGTAATCCTAGCTACTCAGCAGGCAGAGATCAGAAAGATCGTGGTTCAAAACCAGCCTAGCCAAATAGTTCTCGAGACCCTATTTCAAAAAACCCTTCACAAAAATAGGGCTGGTGGAGTGGCTCAAGGTGAAGGCCCTGAGTTCAAACTCTAGTACCACCAAAGAAAAAAAAGTACTCTAGAAATATTTTTGCTTGTCCTTGTATTGTTTTCTTTTTCTTCTTTCTTTTTCAGTGCTGGGGATGGAACCCAGGATCTTGCACATGCTAGGTAAGTACTCTATTGACCACTGAGTTACACCCCAGCCTTTGCTTGTGTCATTCTTTTTCTCTATATGTGTTATTTGAACAAAATTGGGTTTTTGTGGTCTTGAGATCTGCTTTCATTTTTGCTTTAACAACAGACCATGAACATTTTCTCATGTGGTTACATATTTTTCTGCAGCATCATGTTTAATGACTGAATAATAGTCCCTTACAATTTACTTAATTGTGTAAATTATTTCTAATCTTGTTATAAATTGTGATGAAAAATATCCTATGGAGATATTAAAACCATAAAAATATAAGCTCAAGGATGTGCACTAAACCCTTGTTTGTAATAACAATCAAATGGAAGCTGCCTCGACACCCCCGTGTTGAGAAGTAATTTAATATATACAGTAGTATGCAACTATTAAAAATGAGGTAATGCTATATTTACTAGAATGAAAGCTGTTCATAGAAAATAGTTATATGTAAAAGCAAATATGCCTAATGTAATGTCATTTGGGGGACACAGATAGTAAACGTACCCATTTGTGTATATGACTGGGGTTACTTAAGACTAAGGTCTGAACTGACATCCAGCAAATATGTTACCAGTAGTTACCCCTAGTACTGAACACAGTACAAAGTAGTGGGGGTAGACTCTAGTTTTTACTTTATATACTACTGCAGTATGTGTACAGATTGTTCATATTATTTATATAATTGATGGAGAACAGCACATATTTGTCTACAAAAAATACTACAAAACCAAGATAAAATAACCCAAGTAGAGAAAAATAGGAAAATGAAAAATATGGCAACCCAAAGTTTGAGTACAATGATAGGAAAACCATACACCAAAATGTGTTAGAGATCTCAACTGTAATTTAACAATCAGAAAAAACGCTGTTTGGGAAGATTAGTGGCTTACCTCGTCATTCCAAAGTCAGAGACTTTCACTGAGAGATCACTGTCCACCAAACAGTTCCGAGCAGCCTTTGGCCACCAGTGGGGGGTGGGATGGGGGAGAAACAAGTAGGAAACATGATCAAGAATCTTGTGATATCAAAGTCAGACATTTCCTCCCTCCTCAGAGAATTCCAGCAAAATCTAAGCTAGCCTATTCCATGATAGCTATCATGGAATCTAAGATAGCCAACCCCCTGCTCTGGAGCTGTCTTTTGAAATTTTCAGATTTTCAAAATGAAAACGTTCCTGCAAGGATTTTCACCCAAGCATCCATCCTTGTCAAACATTATGACAGGTGTTACACTTCAAACATAGAACTTTGGCTTACTAAGAAGAGAAAGAAAATGTCTAAGGCCCCTTGCCACCACTTGCTATTGTGTATAAACAGATGTTTTAAAGGTCTCAATGCTGCACCAGTGATTTATGGATGCATTGGCCTAGCGAACATGGCGTGTTCACAGTTCAACACAGCCAGTTTGTAAAGACAGATCCCAGTGAACACCATTAACAACACTCCCCACTCGCACCACAACCCAAGGACACACACAAATATCATTTTCATTTCCTTCCTTTTTTATGTGTGTATTCTCAGTTATTGTATCAAATGACTGCTTAGCACCAAGCCCTGCTTCAAGTACCAATCAGCTTGGTTTAATGCTTTTGAGAGACACTTACTTGGGCATGTATTTGTCACACCTCAACACAACTAGCTATGTAGAGCCTGATGATCTAGTTTACTCTTACTCTTCTTTCCATAGTTCAAATATTTTATTCTAAAATTGTGATTTTTATTATAAAAGTGTCACATGGTCCACAAGTCACAAATGAGCATAGCAAAAAGTAAAGGTACCCTCCTTGTCAATCCTCTCAATGGCCTGATCTCTGGAGGTGGGAACTGTGGACTATTTCCTTCCTTTTCTTTGAGTTTCCAATGGTGTGGGGCTTACCAAGTCCCGGTGTATGAATTGGTGACTCTCCAAGAAGGCCATGCCTTCACAGACATCGTAGCACATTTCTAGGAGCTGGGAGGGCTCTAGTTCTTTTCCATGACTCTTCAGGTAGGTAAGCAAGCAGCCATTGGTTATATATTCAGTCACTATGTATATGGGGTATTTCTTTGAACACACTCCATAGAATTTAACCAGCTTGGGATGGCTGAGTTTCCTGGAAAAAACAGATTTTCAAATTTTGGTATTGTACAACTCCATTTTCCAGATGCCCTGAGAAAAGAAGGGCTCTCAGATTTTCAGATTTTTGTTTGTTTTAATATTCCCCCTTTTATTTGAATAGAGAAAGAGAGCAGAAAGTTTAGGATCTAATGTTGAGAACACAATAGACTTTGGGGGCAAAAAATGCTGCCTTATATTAGACATCAGCAACTTGAAGCAGTTTAGTGGCTTGTGGATGCTGATTCCCACAGAGAATCAGGGCAGCACCATTCCAAAAATACTTATCACAATATGAAGGGTGCAGGTAAAATGAGAATAGCTGCCATTTTAAGGAAGTGAGATTAGGCGTGATTTCCCTTTCTGTTTTAAAAATATCATTTTACATCATTTGTTAAATTATTTAAAAATAAATAAATGGTACTCAGCACTGCTCCCTTCAAAGGGAAGGCTTGTGGTGAGACAAATATCTATTGTCCAATAAAAATTTGTTCTTTGAGCAAATACAGTCACTGCTCACGTTGCTCACTGTGGGAGCTACAATGTCAATGATTCCCCCCACATAATAGGCCTTAGTTTGACCATTTCTTTTAGGATTTAACATCTTTTAATTATGGCAGTTTGACATCTTTCTCTGTTATTAGGTAATTTATTAATGATTTTAAAGATTCTTTTATGATTATTAACTCTGTAATAACAAAAATATGCTTTAACATTATACCAGGTCACAGGGATTACAGCATATCACTAAGAAAGTTTTGTCAGATTTTTCAGTAATGCAAAAAGAGGACACCAAGAGTCCCTTTTCAGTTTTATGACAGTCAATTGCCAAGGACAGAACCAGTTATGTAATTTGCAGGTAGACAAAACAAAAAAATGCAAGAATCCTAGCTTAAAAATGAAGCATTCAAGATGGCAACTGCACAGCATTAAAGCAAGCACAGAGCCCTTGTAAGTGTTTGGATCCTGGCAAACGTGCTGTTGCAACGCCTTGGCCAGGCTTATAGTCACATAACCCCTCTACTTCCAAATAATTCTGTGATTATGACAAAATACCTTCATAAGCAGTGACTAAGGAAATGGACATTGGAATGTCAGCCTAGATTTGCACCTCTGCCTTGCCTCTTTTACTACCTTGGTGATTTTCAGTAAGTTATTTAACATTTCTGTGTTCCAGTTTCCTATAAAACAAAGATAACTATGGCACACCCCTCATAAGTTTCTCATGAGAATTGAATAGTTAGTATTTATAAAGTGCTTGGGTCACTGCCTATAAACATTCTGTAAATGTTAAGTAAAACATTTTAAAGTACTTTCAATCTGCAGGAGGCTGGGATTTGTGATTTCAACTCTCTTTGACCAAAGCCTGCTATGACGCTGTTTTTCACACCATGCTGATTGGTTCCTTAAATGTACTAACCAGCTATGCTGCTCTGTTTGAGCCTAAGGACTAAAACCAGGAAAGTCCTAGGCAAACCTGGATGGTTGGTCACCATACAAAGTCTGATTCACTGTGTTGATAACAAGAGTGTGAATTATATACAGCAGACACATACACCCAGAGATAGAGATAGAGAGATACAGATATATAGATGGTGGGGGGAGGAAGGGAGAGAGAGAGAGAAGATATATATTGCTAAGAATTGAGGACTGTGCTTGGAATTAAGACCTATTAGGAAGGTATGATGGTTAATCTTGATTGTCAACTTGATTGGATTGAGAAATACATTGGAAATTAGTAAAGCACACCCAGAGGTGTGCCTATGAGTGTGCTTCCAGAGAGGATTAACCAAGGGGGGAAGACCCATCCTGAATGTGGGTGACACCATCCCCACAGGCTGGGGACCCAGATGAAATAGAAGAGTGAAAATGAGAGAGTCTGATAGTTCAGACATTCTCCCTGCTTCTTGGCCACAATCATGTGAATGCTCTGCTTTGTTACACCCTCCCCTCTGTGATGGACTGAAACCTCTGGAACTATGAACCATAATAAATAATTCCTCTCTTTAAGTTGTTCTTTCAGGTATTTTGATCACATCTTCAGAAATCTAACATAGAAGGGCGTCTTCATTTATCTGTTGAGAAAGGGATTTTTTCTGAACTATACTGAAGGCACTAAGAAGGAAAAGGGTATTGTTGGCAGAGCATTAATTTTCAGTCCTAGGTAATAGCCCCATGCTGTTCCACATCCCACCATGCACCTCCCCACAGTACAAAAGGGCCACAGTGCCAAGGAGATATTCCAATTTAGAGCCCATATATCTCTCAGCCACTTTGGAGGTACCAGGGTTCCAGAATCCCTATACTCCTGAGGCTTCTTCCAGGAACTCTGTAAGACACCTCTTGGGTCTGTCCCATACTACCCCCAGTCAAGACCATTAGCTAATCATTGTTTGTGGGAGACATGGAGGGAACCAGGACTGTTGAATGCTATGTCTGCAAATAATTACTAAGGCCTTTCATGATGTAGAATGCAGCTATGGCTAAGAGGAGACAGGGCAAGAGTAGAGTTTGAAAGACCATGGGCTAGAAACTGGTTTCTCTATAGAGTCATGAGAATTCTAAATTTGAATATGGTCTTACAGGCTGTTATAAAGGTATATACCTGTCAAAGTAGGACAATCTATAACTTCTAAATATTATATCCATGACATGTGGACTCTTGCTCCAGGTCTTATGAATGTTAGATACAGGCCTGTTAGTGCTAATGTCCTCCCATGGTGAGAGCCAAACTGCCATTTCTCAAGAGCAACTTACATCATGGTCTGGGCCTCCTGAAAGAATTCATCTTCTGACATGGAGCCCTCCTTGATCATCTTAACAGCAACATCGTATTGCCCCTTCCACTTGCCCAGCTGGACCACTCCAAACTGGCCGCTTCCCAGCTCCTTCAACAAGGCAATCTCTTCTCTTTTCAGTTCCCAGATTCCTAATAAGGCAAGGCAGACACCCTTGAGAATGACCATAGAAAGCTTTGGGGCTAACAGCTTCCCAAGTGGTTTCCTCTCCAATGAGATATTCGTGCCAACAATATGAAGGACAACAAAGCTTTTTATTTTAAATTGACAGCTTAAAAGATCTTTAATGATATGGTCTTATGACCACATAACAAAACCAAGAAAAACACCGTTTTCAAAGAAGTTGCAGCTTATCGACAAGAAGGCTTAGGGTAAAACACCTTGGCAACCAGAGGCAGCTTGGAGTCAGTGTCAAATATACCTGATGCACTTAAGCTAGTAAACTATTGTTAGATTTTCTTATTAAACTGTGATCTAGGTGGATGTTATTCTATTAAACACATGAAGCTGAGGACTGGCTCCTCTCAGCAGGAGTAGATTCCAGGAAAAACAAAGGACAAGCAAAGGGGTTCCAGAGGCTAATGATAGGGTCTAATAATAGAAAAATTTGATAATGTTTTTGGTAATTCTGGGGAGATTTCAGATTTAGGTGTGGCTAGATAAAATACAGTAGGGCTGAAGCCCTCCCTGGTATATTCTGAACAGGGATCTCCTTCCTATCTTCTATCCTTTTTTCAGATAGTCAACCATATATGTTTAAACAAAAAATGGCGGGCAATGGAGTTTAAAAGCCCAAAGGTATGTCCATACCACTTCCCAGGGACACAGAAGCTGGGACCTTGTTGGCCTTGGTTGACACAGGGTGGCGGAGCCGTGTGATCATGCCTGCAATGGAATCAACATCACATCATTACATCATTTCATCACATCACATCACCTTAGACAGCACTGGTTCACAATGGTTCTCTCTGCAGTTACCTGAAAAGGTAGAGCTCAGGTGTTGTGATGCAGAAAGAGAACCCACTCTGACTATATTCAGCCTGAGTTGGAATAATTTGCTTGACTTGTCTAATGAGCTCAACACAAAGCAAAAGTTAAGAGTAAATCTCTTTATGTAATTTTTAAAAATCCCATAGAACCGGTGCTACTGCCTATACTCTTAGATTAGAAGGATCACAGTTTTAGGCCAGCCTGGGCAAAATGGAAGACCCCATCTGAATTGAAAAAAGTTGAGCACGGTGGCACATTCCTGTCATCCCAGTGAGAAGCATAAAATAGGAGGATTACATTTCAGGCCAGCCTACACAAAAAGTGAAAACCTATCACCAAAATTATAAGAGTGAAAAGAGCTGGAGGCATGGTTCAAGCTTTTTAAGTTCTGAGTTTAAACCCCAGTACCAAAAAAAAAAAAAAAAAAAAAAAAAAAACAAAGAAGTTAGTTACTGGATGGAATCTTTTACTTTAAAACATTTCCTATTTCAATTTTGCTATCTTCTTACAGTTCTAAATTTACATATATATACACAAACAACATACGTTTGGCAAAAATTTCAAACAATATAGAAGAGTACACAATAAGATAAATCATCTGATTTTTAAAAATTAAACCTATTACTAAATGTCATTAAATGGTCAAGTCATTGTAATTGCTTACATACAGTTATTGTAAAGCTGGGTTAAAATCATAATTTTCATAGTGCTTTGAAAGAAACCACTTAAAAGAGTAAATTATTCTTGCTTTAAATGTGGGTGTTAAATCATGGGAACCATCACACATATTTTTTCTTCATTTTTCTAGCTATTTGTTTGCTTTTTATATGTGTGTTCTCCAAACTTTTAAAATCTTGTACCTTTAGTCACCAAAATGATAAGTAAATAAACTAGAAAGTTAACACATTCTTCTAAAATGTGTATATGTACAACTATTGCTATAATGATACATCATGTGAACCATAAGGTACACTAA